AGAGAGGAAAAAAAAAAAAAAAAGACTTAGAGATCTCTAGCTCAGTTGCTGAACCATCTATAACGAACAGTCACCCATGTTCTTTAAGAGTATGTTTTAAACTTGTTCGAACTACGGTAGTCAGTTGGCTTATCAATGTATCGGGTTCTAATCTTAATTCAAATGCAATTAGTCGGATATGAATTAATATTTTAGATATTTAGTTGTGGGTATGTTTTATAGAACTTATTTAGCTTTAAATATCATAGCCAGACTTATACTCTATTAAGTCATCTTTTTCATCAAATTATTGTTATTAAGTACATATTTCGAATTTTTTTTTTGTATTGCCTAATTTTTCATACCATAAATACTGTTTATCATTGTTAATTTCAATATTTTCAAATATAACGACTCTTAATTTGAAAATTGTGTTAGCATTAAAATTAATTTTCTATTATATTTGTCTATCTGTATATAATAATATTAAACAATAACATACTCAACAAAAAAAATAGTAATATCAAATAGTAACATATTCAATAAAAAAAAATAATAACATTAAATTGTAACATGCTCAATAAAAAAACTTAATTAAAAATTTAATCATTTTAATAAAATGACACCATACAGTGATTACTTATTTTATTGTGGGCAAGACAATAGTTTTAATGTTAGCACAATTTTTAATTTAAGAGTTGTTAGCCTTTTTAAATAAGTTTTGATTAAATATAATTATTGAGGATATTTTGAATAATAGAGATCAAAATAGACTTATTTCCAAACAAGTTTTTTAAGTGGATTTAAGTCCAAGTAAGTCTACAAAAAGGGACCGACCTCCAAAGGACCTTTAATATATTTTTTTATTGATAATCCGAAGTCGAATCCAAATGTGATTCCGAATCTGAATCCGATATATTATATTTAATAGATTCGAATTTGAATAATCATATATTCGATCCTATTATGATTTAATTTGAATTATTTAAATATTTATATACTAATTATTACATGTGCCTGAAAGTACAGAGTAATAAAAAATTATAAACAATAAACATATTTGTATTCATATTTAAAATCAAATCACAAATATAAAGAAAGAGATAAATGAATTTAAGTATCGATTTATAGTAGGGGAAAAAAGTGCTGGGTGACATTAGTGGTGNATGAACCTTACATTATAAATCAATATATAATTTTATATAAAATTGACATTTAATTTTTTTCAATTTATATTAAACTTTATCGAATTAATATCAAATTACTTTTTATTGTTATCAAATTAATAATAAAATTCATTTAATCAATTTTTTGGATACTAAATTAAATTTTATTTGATTTTATTAAATTTTTAATTTTTTTGGTACTAAATTTAGAGAAAGACAATTGTAAAAATAATAACATTTTTTGGGATGAAATTATCAATTTTCATTAGCAACATTGACAGAAGGGAGACAGAGGGGTCTCTAGGCAATGAATTCAAACTTCAGTGGGTCTCAGTGTTATTTATAAAATGTTAGGAGCTATCCATATAATATTGTCAAAACTCAGGGAATGTCCATGTATTTTATCCTACTTTTTAATTAAACATTAATTTATTATTATTATATCTTAAAAACTTGAGTAGTTATTGGTTAGGAGGGTTTTTTGGTAACCAAAAAGGAAATGTGTGTGAGTGTTTTTTTGTGTATATTTATATGTGGGGAATTGGATATTTAGTGATCAAATTTGCAATGATATTGTGTCATTTAGGGTTGAATAGTGATAATAGTGATAAATTCATAAATTTTATAAATGAGTAAGATTTAGTTGATTTTATTTATCGCTTAAAGATTGTGAATTTAATTGTATTCTATTAGTATTTTTTTTTTGCTTGAGGTATTTATTACATGGGGATAGAGTGAATTGAAAATATAGTGGATGAGTTTATAATTATGTTGTGTTATTGGATTGAGTAGTAATAGAAGTGATAAATTCGCGAGTCTTATAAATGAGCAAGATTTTATTTATTACTTAAAAATTATAACTTTCAATGGGGTTATGTTAGTATTTTTTTTTCTTAGAGGCATTTGTATATATGGTGTTGGTATTGTTTTTGAGAGTTTTTATATATTTTTATGACAGTGTCATTAATACGAATGATATGACCGACAATATATTTTGAGTCATTTAAAAAAAAGAATTGGTATGAATATTTTTAAGTCATTCTTTTTACATTTGGGTAATTATTTAAGATTTCATTTGTTTGTTGTATAGTGTCTTTAGACACGGGTAATGACTATATATATATATTATTGTAATTATCTGTAACATGCCAAGGATATAAATATTGAAAATGGTTTTTTTTTTCACCTTTCTCCAGAGAATATTACGATGAAGCAATCGAGAAACTTCAGAAAATCTCTGACTTGAAACGCTCTTCTTTAGCTGTTAGAGGTAACAATTAGAATACTTGAGAACCCATTTTTGTTTTCAATCGTGGAGAATTTGGATAGAAAGTGGGGTATCAAATGTTTCTAAC